CATCCAATGTCTCTTCGGCCATCATGCCGTGGACAAAGTGTTGTGCCAAAGTCAAACAATACTCTTCGGCTGCACGACACCTGGAAATGCTGGTGCCAGGTATGCGACCTTCCAATGGCTGATGATCATGAGTGTGTTCGCAGCGCCTTGACATTCTCATTGCCATAGCATGCTTGGTCGTGTGCAACGCAGTGGACTTTCTGATGAAGGCGTCATAACCATTGTCGTCCTTGGTGGTTGCACCATATGCGCACTGATCGAAAACTGTGTGATACCCAGGCAAGGTCTTGAACGCAGATGTAGACCAGGCTTTGCTGCGCTCAGGGTGCTCAATGTGAGCATGATTGCCACGTCGAACTTGACCAAGATAGAGTCGGCGACACATCATCAGGTGAGTGTCATGGTCAAGCTCACGCTTTGCAGCAATTGGGCACTCTGCTCGTCCTTGATGTTGATATTCTGCATTGGTGACCACAGAGTGCACCTGGGAGACATGAAGATCTCATCGGGCTCATCTTGAGCTGCCTTCTGAACCAGCGCTCTGCGATGACTGGCTTTGGAGAAGTCCCAGCCACCTAGGAGTCCAAAACTCTCCACGCGAGCTCCAGCTTGTTGAGCACATTCAGTGATTCGCCCAGCTCCTGCATAAACTTCCCAAATCAGCTTGGTCTTGGCTGGGGCTCCGTCGCGAGCCAAAGCCACCAGTCGATTGACTTCACGTCGGACTTCTTTGGACTGTTGCTCCGCCAAGTTGAGGATGCGTGACTTCACATGAGCTCACGACACAGGGAAAAATCTTCATCCATAACAGCCTGCTCAGGAACCTGGACATTCTCAGAAGCTTCGTTGGAGACAGCAGTGTTGAGATAGTTCTTCACCCAAACATGCAGTTGTGCGTAGCGCTTGTGGGCATGCATGTCCTTGAGGTATGCTTCGAAATTCTCGACTTCGTCATGATCATCTTCACAAACCAAATCAACAGTGGGATCAGCCAACTGTGGGATCAGCCAACTGAGAAGAATGTTGGCTGCACAGACAACATCATACTCTTGCATATCGAACAAGGTTTCTTCTGCAGGATCCTCGCCGTAGTAGGCTGCCTCGGCATCAAAGTCTCCAGCATAGGATTGATCGTCGGCGCCATCACCAGCGGCGTCCCATTCCCAGACATCATAGTCAGCTTCATCAGCAGCATAGGCGGTTTCATCGCCCCATTCAGATTCCTTGGCAAAGTGAACTCGATCTTGTCGCCATCGACGCATTGGGCTTCCTTGATGTCGTGGACCAGAGTTGCCCATCACATGATCCTGAACAAGTGTCAGAGAAAGCCTTCTCCACATCGGCCACCTTGGTCTTCACACCCACGGTGGTCTGAACTAACTGGCGCTGTTCTCTGGTCAGGCCAGCGCGTCTCATCAGAAGCCAATTCGCCACCTCATCAGGGATGACGATCTGATACTTGGTCAAATCTCGCAATGCCTGAGCTGCCTCGGTGCAGTAGGTCAGCATGGTTTGACCTTGCTGTCGGCTAGTCTTGCAAAAGTACTTCTCAAACGCCTCAGGCATCTCTATCTTCTCATCATACTGCCATTGCTTGTCTAGACGTTCCAAAATGGTCTTTAGACCGGTCTCCTTCTCGAGCTCTAAGTCTAGATCCTCGCATTGTCGCCAGCTCGCCTCAGAGAGCGTGGAAAGCACGTTCAGCCCAGTCTGCTTCGATCTACCCTGCATGTCCATGCGACAACCATATACAGCGTCACTCGCTTTCTCCATTCCTTGTAATTGGCTGTGGCGTTGTCAAATTTCGGGATGTAGTTGTCCTTCAGGACACCAGACTCCTGAGAGGAACTTCCCTGGGCAGTGCTTCCTTCCATAGCGCAGGCAACAGTTGGAGCTAGGCTCCGCTACCAATATGAAGATGTCACTAGTGCGAACACAAAATGCCAAGTTGGAAAGACCTATAAGTCAATGTCCAAATGAATGCTGTCGCATGCACAACTGCGAACAGCTGTCGGTTTTCCTTAGTGCTGCAGGTAAAGGCTCAAGGGCCCTAACGGCAACGGAATGACCACAGATTGTCGCACAATCTTCACAAGTATGACATAAATTGTGTTTCAAGAAATCCACGGGAGATTTCAAAAATCCAGGAGACCATCAAAATCCAGGAGTTCCGATTGGGCTCACCTCAGTACTAGCGACTGTACTCGCGACACTTCTTTTTGTTTCGCCGATATGGGGGCTTCCATAAATGGGGGATCCCCAAAATGGATGGTTTAGAATCTTAGAATGGAAAAATCAGGAGATGACATGGATGATTTGGGGGTACCCCCATTTCAGGAAACCTCCATATAATTGAATATTATTATCTTATCTTATCTTATCTTATATTATACTATATTCTATTAGTTATATATTATATTATGTTATATTATATTATATTTTTTATTTTATTATAATATATTCTAGTGTATTATATTATATTACATTTTTTACTATATTATAATATATTCTAGCGTATTATATTATATTATATTTTACTGTATCATACTATATTATATTCTATAATATATTCTATTTTACTATATATTATATTATATTATATATTATATTGTAGTATTTTGTATAATATAATATTATATTATATTATATCATATTATATTATATTTAATTATATTATATTATATTATACTATATTCTATTATACTATATATTATATTATATTGTATTAAACTATATTGCATTTTTTTGATATTATATATTCTATTTTACTATAATTATATTATATTATATTGTGTTTTATTATATCATACTATATTCTATTAAACTATATATTATATGATTTTATATTATATTATGTTGTATTATATTGTATTACATTGTATTATATTATTTTGTATTATATTGTATATTATTTTATTATATCATACTATATTATATTTTATTATATTATATTGTATTATATTGTATTATATTGTATTTTATTTTATTATATTATATTATATTCTATTTTACTATATATTAGATTATATTTTGTTTTATTATATTTTATTTTTTCTATTTTACTATATTACATTATTTTATATTCTATTATATTTTATTATTTATTTTCTATTGTACTGATATATATATATGTTATTTTGTTCTTTTCTATTATACTAGATGATATTACATTATTTTTTCTATTATACTATATTATATTATATTATAATATATTTTTTAAAAACTTATATTAAAATTTGTGTTTTTTTTTAATTTTTTATATTTGTATATATTATTCGTCGATTTATTGCCAGAGACGCTGGCCTTTTTAACTGTTCGTTTGGTGATGAAAATTGGCCGTTTATTGCTCCGGAAGGCCATCCCCTGGAAGATCGTCCCAGTACTGGTGAGTGGTGAATCTTCCCTAGTTAGCTATGTTCCCAAAGGGCTAATCCCATACGGTGGATGAAAGAAATCCTGCATCACCTTGGATGGTTGAAACCCTTTAAATAGTGGGAAAAACAATCTATCAACTGGTGCAGGATTTCTTCCATCCACAGTAGCTTACCAAAATAACTATAGAAAAACACAATTTTTTGATATGGCCATTTCCACTAGCTACGTCAATTTACCAGAGGGTAGCCTCCATTATGCCCCACTTAGATATCATTTTGTTAGCACTGGTTGTTTCCACAACGCCTTCTCCTACCCTCTAGTAATGAAAGAAGGTTGTCTGGAATTTCTGCCAGTTTTCGACCATTGGGCGTGACCAACTTAGCCATATCTGTATCTATATGTATATGGCATGTGTATATATATATATATTTATTTATTTATTATATACATGTACCAACCTTAGTTAAACTTTTTGGTTAAACACTTCACCTAGTTCTACGCCACCAAAAACCTCGGGCCCCTTCTCCACCTTTAATCCGAGGCTCATGTTGTGTACCTTTTTGGTGATCTCCATGCAATTGGGCTTCGCCATGATCGAGGCCTCCATGGGAGGGTGGTCGTGTATGTGGTTCGGTGCGTTTTCCGGGCCCCAAGGATACTATGATTAGGGTTTGCTATTATCATTGGTTTATTTGGATGGAAAACACGTATATATATATATATATATGCATGGGGGTTTCCATAAATGGTGATCCCCAAAAATTGATTGGTTTCTGATGGAAAATCCATCTATAAATGGATGATTTGAGTGTACCACCATTTTGGGAAATCTCAATATAAGTATACATACATCCAATATGCATCTTGAAGTAGATAGAATATGGAATTGTCAAACACATTCCCATTTTAGTTACGTTTTTTAGCTCATAATCCCATATTCTATCTAGTCCAGGATGAATATATATATATACATTAATTGGTTTGTTACACACTTTGGAATTTCCCCTAAATGGGAACACATCAAAACTGAAATCAAAAATATCAATCTGGTAGACCCAATGCCATAAACAATCCCTAATTTCACCAGAAATTGGTGGGATTGAAACCCTCCATGCTCGGAGGTTTATGGCATTGGGTTTACCACATTAATGAACCATTGGTTCGTTATAGAATGGGATTTCCCATGGATTTTCTTTATGTGGTTCAAAATCTATTTATTTATTGTTAAGAAAACACATCCAATTACCAACTATATGTTATGTTCACCACGGTAATGATGAGGATTTTGATGCACAGCCATTTCTGGTTGCAAAAGTGATGACTTTTCTTCTCCGAACCAGGCAAATGGTGACACGTCCCCATTACCATTGATAGATGATGCTCCTCTCCAAAATTGTACATCTGTTTTTTTTCTAGCATGTTTGTTTAGGGTCGGAAATCTTTTATGCATTATGTGGTAGTAGGTAATCCACCGAAGGATAATTTTTTGTGAAGATAGATAATTCAATTACTTAAACAAACCCTCAAAAGATAGAGTTAATGAAGATAGGTACTTAAAATACCTAAAATCAAAACCGATCTATCTGAAACAAAGTGTGTTGTTTGTTTCCTTGTGGTTTCTCCGTAGGTTGGTAGTGTTCGAGAAGCACATCGCATGACTGCATCTTGGCGCGAACAAGCCAATACAATGGAAACAACACATGGGATACAGTCGGAATTTCATGGGAATATATATATATATATATGTACATATACGTTATTTTACATAATGTATAACATCATACAGAATGTACATATGTTTATTTCATGGAATACCATAATACATATGTATTATATATATGTTTCTATATGTACTATTATGTTATGTTATGTCATTATTAGCTATTATCATTTAATCGGAACACACACATATATATATATGTTATTATATGTTATTATATATTGTCGTATTTACTTATGGGGATGCACAATGGTTTCTATAAATGGGGATACAACGGGATTTTTTTAATGGGATACATAATAATATTATATCAGAAACGTTTGTTGCCAGCGCTGAAATCACCAATTGTTTGTGTAGATTCATTGTTTTTTGTCGATATATTACATTATCTTATGTTTTTTGTTGTCCATTCAGAAGCCTTTTCTATCAGAAATACGACCGGCTTGTTGTGGGCGCGCAAAAGGCAATTTGTTTCCCCAAATACATTCATTACATTACATTGATCTAAAACAGTATTGGCCTTTTGCTGTCCATACACAAGCCTTTTCTAGTGGAAACAGAGTTTAGAGTGGTTAATCACCCAAAACCAGAAAAACACAACAACAAAAACAAAAAAAAAAATGTATTGGGGACTACTTGGATCTAGGCATGTTCAGACTAGTCTGGAAAACATTGTTTTTTTTTGGTTTGTTTCTGTGGTTTTTTGATTCCTTAGGATTACCCCAGATCAATCCAAACCAAATCTGATTCATCTTGCCCGCAAGGCATTCTTGTGAAGTCATTACTTAAACAAATCGTGTGTGCTAAACATGCGCAGTGTTCCTTGGGGATGTGCATTTTTTTTTCAGGTGTGAAGCCTAACTTTGGGGATGTAGAATTATGTTTTTGGTGAAGGAAACCGTTCCTTCAAATAAATGGTGTTCCTGTCCCAGTAGAGCGCAGCTGGAGTTCTTTGACAGGAGTGTTACATATTTACACAGAAATGGATAGAAATGGTGTGATTGAAAGGATTGTTACATATTTTCAAACCATGGTGTAACTTTCAAACGATGCAGCTGATTCAATTTTGGTGAGTAAAACCTTTCCTTCAAACAATGTTGTTCCTTCCAAACAGATGGCAGCTGGGTTTCTTTGAAAGGAGTGTTACATGTTTTTAGGAAATGGTGCTACTTTCAAACATAAACGCCAGCTGAGCTTCTTTGAGAGAAATGTTACATCTTTAAAGGAGACAGTGCATATTTTGACACAATATTGTTTCTGTTATTTAAACTAAATTGTTTAAATACGATTGCAACTTCAAGTTAAGTATTCAATCTTTGAAGAAAACAGCATCTGCCTGAAGGAATGTTACCATGATAAGGGAAAGACAGGAATATTGCATTTTAGAACACAAGACACATCGTAGACAACACATATTGTTCTTAAACCAATCCAATCTTCACAAAAAGATCTTCCTGAAAAAACATTTGACTAGCTCAAAAGCAACCACCAGTTTGTAAATAACAACAATTTTTTGGTTGAAATGGATGCTTTGCAAGGAAAATTACACTTCTTTGAGGAACTCCATTTCTTCAAAGCATTGTCTGCTGGGAATGTAGCACCGGCATACAACTTCATAGACTATATACAGATATTTCTCTTTGGGCCATGAAAACAAGTGAAAACAACTGCATTGCCTGATATTGTTTGCAATTTTGCCTTTAGCTCACTGTGTTGCATTTTCTTTGGTCAACTGCTGCGCTGCGCAGCTCAAACTCATTCAACATTGTTATGTACTTCCACACCTGTTTGAAAACACCAGGGAGTTTCCTTAATTTTCTAACTGAAATAGGCCTTGTAGATGAATTAAGGTTGTGTTTCAAAGACGACTCATTATTTTCAAAAGAATGTGGTATTGTACCACAATTATATGGAAACATGACAGTAGTGTATCCCTAGGTTTCAAAACAATATATATATATATCCAATTTTCATGATGTTTGCCACACAAAAAGAAGGATAACTATTGTTTATGAGAAGTACATGACCTGAACTTATCCACTGTATTTTTGCATTTTATATTACATACATATTCTGTTGCACCTAATGCTTCAAAGTGGAGATATATCCTGTTTTCTCTTCCATTGTAGAATTTCTTCTTTGAATTCGCCACATTTGAACCTAATGACTACCATTGTTCTAAAGCACTGCATTTTACAGCTGAATATGTGTTTTTTCTTTTTTTCTGGGTCAGGCCTCCTCCGATAAAAAACATCCTATTTGATGCCTACTTTCCAGCGCTGGCAACAAGCCCCTCTCTATTATATATATATATATATGGGTATGGATCAATACCTATTAATGCCATTTTTAGGGGAATGAACATCCATTTACCAGCTATTTTGATGTTCACCAGGGGTACAAGGTTTTGACACACTGCCATATGTGTAAATGGTTGTATATCCTCCAGTTGTGGTCATTTTGAAGAGGGAACATTGTGATTTTTATCCATGTGATTTTGAAGTACATAATTACTTTTTTTTCAGTGAAAAAAGAACAAACCCATGGGACAAACCTGACATGAATTGTGGAATATACGTTTACATATAGATATTGATCACAACACATGGATCTAAGTCTAGACATAAATATAGATTCGCATACATGGGCCTATACGCATAGATCTGTAACTCGGGGTTGACATATATATATCTATCTATCTATCTATCTATCTATCTATCTATCTATCTATCTATCTATCTATAGGTTGGTGCAAAGGTGGGGGAATAACTCCCTATATATTGAGAAACTTCATGGGAAGAGATCACGCGCGTTGTTGTTGTGGGGGTATGGTATGGTTAGAAACCACTCATACTGGGATGATGTCATGGTTCTGGATTCACACATATATATATAGGATGCTTTAAACATGGATCATTCTGAGTTCAGGATATATCATGTTTAAGATGTTTAAGATATTATCATATAGGAGATGTCAAATGGATCCATATTTATAGTATTGGGATGTGTTGGGGGTTTAGAGTTGCATCCCCAACATACGGTGGTACACCCAACTATAAACAATACCTTAAATTTACCAGATTTCTCAAAATGGAGGTTTCCTAATTTTTGGAGCTACCCCCAGTTCTCATCCATTTCTAGATGGATTTTCCATGAAATAAATCCACCAGCTATTGGGGGTACCCCCCATTTACGGAAACCTCCAAATGGACCGTTTGGACCTTGAGTCCTCCACGTTGAGACCGACGCCAAATCTGACTGATCCTTCAAAGGGTTGCTGGCAATCAAGGGGGACCTCATTTTCTAGGGCAAGGAGCCTGCACGTTTGAGTCATGTGGTGTGCTTTGAAAGTGGTATCACATGATATCACCATGTAGTATGGTTGAAGAGTTGCAATACCAAACACTTGTCGGTCGGGCTAGAATTTTGACGCAGTGTTTTTTTGCGGGTGTGAAATCAAGCATGGTTTACAATTTCAAATATTTCTTCAAAGTTCATTTCACATGTATGATGCCCCCCATCTCAAAACCGCCCGCCAGATGCGCAATGGTCCAAACTATACCAGAAATCATTGATTCTCACATACATTTTTCCTATGTAAACTACAGTGTGTCATTACATCAACATACACTTAATCAATTGAATCCTTATTTTTCAGTGTTGTTTCACCTCAAACAACAACCTTCACCATTTTCCCTGGAAGCATTTGTTGGGGTCTACCGTTCTTTCAAGCGGGTGCCCTTAACGAGTTCACCGTAAAGGTCTTGGCGAAGAATGTCATGGACTCGGCGATGAGTTGTCTGGTCTTTGCCATCGCCACCCGAGAGAACTTCTGGGAATCCAGCCTGGTCTTGGACGCCAACAAAGAGACCATGCCACCTGGCGCTTGGGGTGATATGAGTGTATACATATTATAATATATTATAATATAATATTATGCAGCATATATATATATATATGTATGATATATGATTGAATTATGGCATGATCAATAGATATAACTATGTGTATATATAATATCATATACATTGATGTAAGTATATATACTTATATTTATACACATATCAGGCATATGATTACGACTTCTGCAGTATTGGTAAAGTCTTTCAATCTGTCGCCATGGTTTGCAATTGCATGGCACTCATTGTGTTTGTTCAAGTCTGGTCCTGTCACGCCGACAAGTAGTTTCTATTACCACCTGGATTATGGAATTAGTTCAAAGACCAACCTTTGTTGGTAATTACTGTCATATCTACAAAAGGTGATGTGGAAACACCATCTAGGGCGCAGTGCCCACCAGGTATAGGATGCCATCCTCAACCCCCATTCCCCACATGCGCATTGTTGGTGACACTCCTATTCTTGGTTTTATGCTCTTGGTCATTACCCACTACTGTACCCTTCAAAAACTCTCAAACATGCGTGCATTATACACAGTGATATCACATTGACATTATTGGGCAGTCACTTGTACTTACAATAGAGGGTATATAAGATCAATAAATGCGAGCATTGGAAAACAAAAGAAATATCTAGCTACCCTATTATATAATCCGTATCAGCATGGGACACATCGCAGTTGTGCCGTAAATTGTGCTGCTTACAAGATATCCATCCAGCGACCACAGTGACTACATGCCTAGGGTTATTTTTAGGATAACAGAGGATTTGGATGGATTTTGATGACCCTTTTCGGTTTGGCTGGTCACCTGGTCGCTAGATTTTGGGACAATCCCGTTGGAGAATTGACGGAAGGCGACTCAAGAGCCCCAGATTTTTCGGACCTTGCTTTCAGCAGGCCATTTGGGGCCGAGATCATACTCTACGAATATCCCATGGACTGTTAATGTACAGCCAATGAAAATGCGTAGATATGTATAGTGTATTCTTATATGATATTATATGATCCCTTTTTTGTTAACACTAACACCAGCGGACGTCCATATCAGCCATGAGATTTTTTCTGTGCCCTGAAATGCACATCCCGCAACAGGTATTCGGACTTGTTGTACCACTGGGCGTTTTGCGCCACTTGCGTGACCATTTGTTCTGGATCCATGGCAGAGCGCACGCACATCATCGGTGCCCTGGCATAATCAAGTTAAAGGTACGAAGTATCAGTTTCTACCTGGGTATATCAGGTATATCTATATACTTTATACAGTATACATATATATATATATACATACACATATACACAGTCAGAGATATCACTTTTTATTATGGATATGATTCAATGGGTACCTTTATTGGGGATATGAACTCATATGAATCCCCACCAGCTCAAAGAAATGTGTTGTTTTGCATCGTATCCAAGATTGGCCGTGCCATGGCCAGCAAAAGAAAGATATGGACAGCCGATAGAAACCAATCATGGCTCAATAACAAAGAGAGGGTCAACCCGGGGCAATTGGTAGCTAATTGCTTAGTTATTCGCAAGTTGTTTGCCACAATTACATGGCTCACCAACCAAACTTGATGTTTTTTTGGGGGTCGGTATCTAACATTAGTAATTAATAAAAAAATGCATTTGCGTAAGCTAAGCCAGCGAAGATGGTATTACTTAAAGGGAACACATCCAGCAAAACCATACATGAAGACATAGCCAGGAGGAAAAATTGCATAGGATATAGCCGATCTCAACAACGTTGTGAGTCCAATTGTTACACCAGATCGAATGTACTGTAGACACCGCGCAATGATTTTAAATATTTCTACAAGGTGGTGCCCCTAAGATAGTCAACTTGGTTCATAACTCTAATTTAACTAGGACTTATGGTAGATATATCGAACTAGTTAATGGATTTAGAAACCAACAAACAAAACTGACAGGGCACCACATTGTAATTTGCGTATGTGCTTAGCTTTACCAAATCCAGCTGTGGATACACCATGAGTTTCCTCAGCGTGACACCATTTGTTTGGATGTTTGGAACAAGCTCACCGTAACATCACTTGTGAAATATGTTGAAATGCTGGATAGATTGTAGGCACCTATCCCATGATAATCTGGTTTCACCTTGGTGAATGATGGAGATCGCAAAGTTATATCAAGTTGTGCATCCGTATTTTTTCATATTTCATCTCCAATATCTTCAACATATTTCCAAAATCCATCCCTAACATCAATGAAACTGGAAAAAACCTCATTTGAATTCATTTGATTTCAAAAAATATATGATAATCTGTTCTTGTCTTAACGTTTTCTCAACAACGTTTTCCCAACAGATCGCACGCAGCCTGCTAAGGATACCTGACCCATGCAGCTCTGATGGCTGGTTTGATCTTCCCGCCCGTAGCTGAAGCAGTCTGGGGTTCAGGAGGTGCCGACTGAAGTTTGGGAGATCTTCAGGATCCTAAATTTTAATGGGGGGTACCCTCTGGTAATTTAACATAGCTATGGAAAATCACCATTTTTAATGGGAAAATCCACTATAAATGGCCATTTTCAATAGCTATGTTAGTTTACCAGAGGGTAATGGGGGGTAACTATAACTGGTTGGTGGTTTTAAACATTTTCTATTTTCTATATGGGATAATCCTTCCCATTGACTAATATTTTTCAATATGGTTAAAACCACCAACCAGATAATTATAGTACAGTAACTAAGGATAATATGGGATAATAATGGGATAACTATTATGGTAACTGTAATTCATGGGGGTAATTAAGGATAATATGGGATAATACAGGGATCATATGGGATAACTATAATTATAGTACAGTAAGCAAACAGCAGGAATCGGAATCAATTCCAGGATCCTAATTCATGGAGCTACTGATGGAAAATTCATGGGGTATTCATGGGATATGAATCAATGGGATGGTAATGGGATGTGAAAATGGGATAATGGAGGTACAAAAAGCCAGTGCCATATTTTTGGCCATAGAACTTGGGGGTATATCCCCTGAAATTTAGCCCTAAAAAATAGGATATATATATATATATATGGTAGGTACCTCCAATTTGGGTTCCTGAAATGGCCTTTGAAAGTTCCGAGTTGTTCCGTTCTGCGGGCAGTGCCAGGGGAGGTTCAAAAGCTCTTGATGCTTTCAAGCATCATTCGCAGGGATTTGTTTTTAAATGGGATTTAACCATCAAAAGATGGGAATATAGGTATAATAGGTGAGACATCATAAATGGTTGATGACTATGTGGGATTATGCTATCAAATGACTATTGCAGATGCTCAGATTTCATTATGAGAAATCCCATGGGAATTCCTTTCGGAAAACCAGTATTTTTAGGGACATCATTTCGGATTTTGAACATTGTTCAGATGGACAATGGATATATCCTCCACACTACCAGTTTGCAGAAAATGACCGTTTAAACATGTTTAAACACATCGATAATTTACCGCTGAAAAACGGTGTTCATGTCAAATTGCCAGAAGGTATATATAATTACAGGTGCATATCTATTTGAAACACGCTGATCGCGTTAAAATTCAATATTCATATGCATATTGACCAATGGGGTTATAGTATAATGCGGGTATACTGGAGATAGTGGGGATACAGTGTCGGTATAATGCAAGCAGCATAGATATGGACAATCCACGGGAAAATGTTACGAACATGATCCAGAAATGTTGGTGCTTCCATATTTTTCTGTTCATTACTGGAGGCAAGCAGGGCTAAGAAAAATATGACAGATATGAAATGATCATGACCATGGTTGATATGAAGATGATATAAACTCGCAGGGCGTTTGTGGGTGTATTTACATCAACCATAGATGACAGAGACATAAAGATTACTGTCTATGGATAGGGATGATAAACCGCTTATAAGTTTGCCCTAGACATTCCAAGAGGCTAAAGAGGCAGGGATTTGAACACCCCCAGCAGCCTGTGGATCCAGGGGCTGTTGTGATGAGCATTTGCGATTGAGGATTTTTCATGAACATGAATAATTGGTTGATAAAGGATGCCCATATTGGGTGGTGATTATGATATTGTTTTAGCCAGATTCAACCTGGTGGTATAACCTCAAGCATGCTCTGTTGTACAGGATGGGCCTCTTGAAATTTCACGTCAGAGATTGATTGGACTTGTCATTTGGGGTTTGCTGGAAGTTCCAACAAAAATTATCTACGAACATTGGGTAATTCTCTGAACTTCTTTTGCCATGTCAGATTGCCATGCACACTTTTTTCAGGACCTCCAAGCTTTGAAAAACGTTTCTTTCTGATTTAGCCAGAAATTCTTACATCCATCCACACGTGTGCGATGATGTTTTGCCCTCATTGACACAGTGGCAAAAGTACCGACAGATCTGTGGCAAAGTACCAAGGAGTTGGTCGTCTAACCGATGTTGGCTTTCACGGGTTTGTCCTTCTGATGTTGGGTTTTAGAGTTATGTGCTCCAGTGCTCCAGCAATATTGGGAAACATCCAGTTAACATCCAGTTGTCATGTCCATTTACAGATGATTTTTCCATCTTTTTCCACCCAGAAATGTTTCAGAACATTGCCATCGCCATAGTTGATTCTCCAGCTGTGGCGATGTTGATATCACCATACCTATTCTTGGTCTATACACTTTCCTCGTTGGTGGTTTGGAACATGAATTTTATGACTTTCCATTCAGTTGGGAATTTCATCATCCCAACTCACGAACTCATATTTTTCAGAGGGGTAGGTATACCACCAACCAGTTTCATGTGGCTGGTTTCTTTTATAAAATGGTGATGTACATGCATTAACTTGTGGATTACCTGCTGGTAATCTAACATGGCTATGGAGCATCACCATGAAAAAATGGCTAAGTTATCGAACTAAACGGGCCATGGCTTCCAGTCAGCAATCTGTTGATCAGAGGGGAATATTCCAATGGGTAAGCACATGATATTCCAATATATCCCCATCATACCATCATTTTTGATCGTGAAATCGTATGAAAAAAATCGTCATTTTGGGTTGTTCCCCATAGGATGGGGCCGTATAAGATGTTATAAGTTGGTTGAGAAAACCCCATCCAAATATAGTTATTTGATGTTATTTGCGTACCATACACTATGGTTAGTTATTTGATGTTATTTGTACCAACTTAGCTAACGAACTGGGGCCTCATCCTGTAGCATCACCAGCTGAATCTCTGCTAGACACGACTGAATCGTCCAGGTCTTCTGCGTCCTTTCTTCGTGAATGCCGTGCATCAGGCGTGACCTTCACCAATCTT